TGTGGTCTTACAATATCTTGCATTTCAGTAGCTTGTGTGATATTTCGAAACCAACATTTTGCACAAAAAAATGTATCTGATGTTTCTACCGCTGGAGAATTATTGAAATCTCAGACCCTATATTCTAAAATTTTTGTCCAGTCTTGACCAGTATTCTTGCTCCTGCTCAAGTCTAAGAGTTGCCAGGCATGGCTAATGGTCTTTCTTGTTCAGAGGCAACTCACTTGCTAGTGGTAATTACACATTTTCCATTGACATCTTGAAATATATATGACAGAGTCCAAACAGTAATTCCTTCTTGTTTCTTTCTCTTCACAGGCTCTCTACAATTCGATCAAGAATGAGAAGCTTGACTGGGCAGTGTAAGTATACTGTGCAGAATTCATGATCTTAAAATCAGTCCCTGGTATGGTAATCCATTTCCGACGTACATTGCACTGTGATTAGACTCTGGAACCTGTAGTCTTGGTTCCATGAGACTCAAACATTGGATTCGCTCTTCCATTAGCAAAATTCCATGTTCTGCTTCCCTTCTCCAGTAAGGAAAGTTGTTAATTATGCAAATCAGCTGTGTCTGCAAGGAAGAAAGACATTTAATTCAGTAGGAAACTTCAGCTTCAAAAGGCAGAAATATAAACCTCTGTTTGTTCTAGGACTACATAAATAAAACAGATGTTGAGTTTCTTTCTTTATCTTCCAGTGCATTGTGTTGGAATCACTGAATAGAAATGCAAGTCTTGGATTGAGTTTCCTGTTCTTGGCTTGTTGTCTAGTATTGTCTTTGGATTAACTATGGAGAATTTGACAACAACCTAATATTAAAGAGATTTAATTCAGAAGTGGCCGATATACCCCCCCTCCCCACCCCAACACATCTGCTTTTTGACAAGATAATACTTCATCAGCACTCAGTGCTAAACACAAGAGAGAACTTCTGCTTCTAACCATATTAATCGGCATTTCCCCTTATTCATTTTCTTTGCGGCGTGAATACGCCAACAGGAAAGGGATGCACCAGCCCTAGATTGATGTCCGTGCTCAGTAGTGGATTTTGGTGTCAAAGAAAAGGGTTACACCCCAGAGTAGCTGTGTCTATTTGAGATGTTTGCCTGCATGGCTCCACACCCTTGGTGATATGGGCACGGTCCGTAGCACGGTCCATTGGGGCTGCTTGCATCCCGTCTACGCCCTTGTGTCCCCACCTGAGGGGTCATAAAAGGGAGCAGCTCCAGCCACCACTCAACTCCCTCTGCTCAACCAAGCATCTGTTTTATTACTTGGAGTATGAGGGAAGGTGGACAGGTAATAAGAATCCATGCACGCAATCGTCTGGAAGTATGCAGCTATTATGGTGAGCAACCGATTTTCTTTCTGTGAGCATTACCTGCATAGAGCCCCACTCTTGGTAATTAACCGACAGCTGCAAGACTCAAAGGGGGGTGGATCTGAGGAGTCTCTCCCGAGTAAACTTCGCAGGACTGCTCTCTCAAACTGAGGCTCTGATCTAGAATAACGCAGCATGAATATATGTATGGAGCTCCATGTCATATCTTATATACCCCAGCAACAGACGTTTTGTGGCGAGCCCCTGCAGCTGCCTTAGGCCTGGTGGAATGTGCCAGAATTTCATCTCGTTCTTGGCAAGAGCGTGCACAGAGGCTAATCCACGTGGACAGCCTAGGTGGGAATTGATTGGCTCCTAGCATTATTCCCATGCTTTTTCGTCAAGGTGATTTATGGGGTGGTGTAGTCCTGTTCAGATAGTAGCGTAAAGCCCTCTTAATGTCTAGCCATCACAGCCCAGTCTCCCCTGATAGTGAGCATAGGCGTGCGCAGCCCATTTCATTAGGGTGTGCACCCAGGGAGCCCCGCCCTAGCACCGCCCCTGCCATGCCCTAGCCCTGCCCGCACCCTGCCCCCATCCACTCCCTCCTACTTCCCGCCCCCTGACTTCCCCCCTCAGAACACCCAACCCCCCCCCCTGCTCCTTGTCCCCTGACTACCCCCTCCTGGGACCCCTGCCCCTAACTGCTCCCCAGGACCCCACCCCCTACCTAAGCCTCCCTGCTCCTTGTCCCCTGACTGCCCCCCTAGGACTCTACCTGTCCCCTTACTGCCCCGATCCTTATCCACACCCCCACCCCCTGACAGGACACCCAGAACTCCCGACCCATACAACCCCTTCTGCTCCCTGCCTCCCCCAACCCCTCTCCACACCCCTGACTTCTGACAGCGCCCCCAGAACTCCCGACTCATCCAACCCCCCCAGCTCCTTGTCCCCTCACCACCGCCTCCAAAGATCCCCTCCCCACGA